AAAAAAAAAAAAAAGACAAAAAAAGAGCTCCCCTTTGGTGTGGAGGCCTTGTGTGCCCTGTGGTGACTGAATCACAGAAATGCTGAATCTCTGAGTTGGGCAGGACCTCGACCACAGCTCTAGCCCAGCTCCTCAGCCAGTCTCCTCCACAATGTCCCTTCTCTCCTCTGTGACTGGGCATCCCTCCCAATTGGTAGCCTTCCAGATCTTCTCTTGCTGGACTGGGCTTCTCAGTGGAGCAGAGTGGCTTACACCCCTGACTTCTGTGGTTACCAGTTCCTCTGTCGACATCACACACATCCCCACTGTCCCCACACGTACCCTCCAGCTGAGAAGCATTGCCACAAAGGTGACACTCCTGGTGGCAGGCACTGGCCCTGCTCCTCTGAGGACCCCAAGCCCCTCCTGTACCTGCTGTAAGGGGTCCTTGGGAGGGGACCAGAGGAGGCAGATACTTGGGCAGGCCTCAGAGCACCTCTGGTCTGGGCTCTGTGTGTGCATGTGTGCGTGCATGTGTGTGTCAGGAACCCGGGGCTTTGGCTCTCCCTTTCTCCCACCTGGTGTCTTGCAGGCAGCTGGTTTCAGACACAGCTAGCTCCAGCCTTTTCTGGGATTTCCCCAGCCACCATTCACCCCCACCCCAGAGGCCGCCCTGGTTCCTGCTCCCTCCCACCATGTGTTCTCTTTTCTGCATCCAGAATGGTCTTAAAGGTCTTAAAATCCCACCTGGCCAGATGCTTTCATTTTCCACCTGTGACTGGGTCAGGCTCCAGGGGTGACGTCGGGCATTGTGACCCACAGCCGGGAGTGGGAATCATGACCACCGCTGCCATGTGAGTGGCAAAGGGACCTAACAGGTCTTCCAGCCTCACCTCCCTGGCACTCTTGCCTTTTTCACTGCCTCTTCTCTGCCTGTAGTACCTCCTACTCCCCGCTTTGCCTGGGGATACCCCCCCACTTCCCACACCCTCTCCCTTCAGAGCCCAGCCCCAGGTGCCCCCCCCACTCCTGTACTGTTCTCCCCCACAGAGCACAGTGAGTTAGGGTCTTCTGTTCAGCTCCCGGTGCACCTTCTGGCAACTGCTAAGGCCCTTCTCAGGCATCAGTTGCTCTGTGATCACTTGTGGAACAGCAGTAGGTGTGTCTACTTGGGTCCCTAGATGGTCTAACGGCTATGGTTGGTGTGGTGGACGAGCACGGGAGCCTGTTGGAATGTGGAACGTCAGGATCCAGCGGTCCTTGAGTTAGGCCTGTCGTCTGAGCTGCATTCTTGGTGCATATCTCAGAATCATCCCGGCTGGCCAGCTGCTGCCTACTCTAGAGCGTTCCTCCCTACCTACTTTAAGGATAACTTTGCTCATTTCCAAGCATTTTTTAAATGTTATTTCTTCAGGAAGGACTGATACCCCCAGACCCACTGTCCAGTTGTAACTGATTCCTTGTGTAATGCTCTTCTGAATGTCCCACAGAATGCTCTGTAGCTCCCATTCTTGTGGCTGGATTGGCGGGAAGGTGAGCCCACCTTCTCAGGCCACACAGGCTGCCTTCCTGTGTAACTAGACACCTGGTAGTCTTTGGTAACAGGACAACCTGTGCAAACTCCAAACTGAGCCAGTAACCAGGTGCCAAGTGCTTACCTGAGATTTAATCCTTTTTTCTTTCTCTTTCAGTGGTTGATATCTCAACAAGTATCCTTTTCTTGTTGGTACCATTCTCTTTAAGGAATACTCCATTTGACTAAAAATGAATGTGTTACAAACTGAATCCCACCTCATGACATACCCTGTGGGTTTAGACTTGGCCCCACAGACCTCCTGGAGAATCCCCGCTTGGCCCTTGACTGCCCCAGAAACCAGCAGCTTCTCAGTAGATACTGTGCTCCTCTTTTTGCTTCCCTCTGCACCCCAGCTCCATTCCCTACCTGCAACCAGCTCAGGGATCACTGGAGAAATATGAGAACTTGGAATTTCTGGCAGGCAGGGATGTACCCAGCACACCTCTGCAGTGTAGGAACCCCGAGCTGTGGCCCTTTTAAACTGACCTTTTTTGCAGTGTCTATGTTTACTTAACTGGATGTTACTAGATCCCACAGTTTGAAGATGTTAAATTTGAAGCAGCAAGTCTGTTGTCTGAATTATACTGTCAAGAGGTAAGAACGTATTAGCGTTTTTGAAAGCAAAGTATCTACCCCTGTTGCTAAGATGCAATGGCAAATTGGGGCTTGCGGGAGCTGGAATCCCTTTTTTTTTTTTTTTTTGGTGGCTGGCCAGTTCAAGGACCCAAACCTTTGACCTTGGTGTTATCAGCACCATGCTCTCCCAAGTGAGCTATCTAGCCAGCCTCCCTTCTGGCTTTTAATACTTCAAATTATTTTCCTACCTCTTACACCCTAGCACTAGAGCTCTTAGGGATAACCACTTGCTAATGAGGGCCAGCAGAATCCTTTACTGAAGACTGTTGGGGAAAGCAACCTTGTTCCTACCCTAACAAATCCATATAGTTTGCCTTCTTAATCTGGTTCCCGGTTGATTTGTAGCTGAAAATTGCCTCTCCCCACTTCGAATGATAATGTGTGAGGTGGCCTGGGCAGCAGGGAGTGTGTGCTTCACACGCTGTGCCTCTCTGTTGTCTGAGAACACAAAAGATAGGAACTGGCACCTAACTTGACTGTTCAGGATTTTGGACTGAAGCTACTTTCAGTTTAGTAGAATGAGAAGTTATTTTAAGAGTGGTGCAAAAACTTCCCAGCCAGCGAATCCAATAAAATGTCTTTCTTTCTTTTAATAAAGTAAATTGGCAACCCAAAAAAGTCCTTCGGTAAGCAAACAGCCTTCTGGCTCCACAGCTGCTGTGTAAGGAATCAGCTTGATAGCCGGCTTGTTTTTTTCCCTCCATGATCTTGACTGTTTCCTTTCAGAATTCCGTTGATGCAGCAAAGCCTCTGCTGCGAAAAGCAATCCAGATCTCACAGCAGACCCCATACTGGCACTGCCGCCTGCTCTTCCAGCTCGCTGTGAGTACTGCAGGCGAGAAACACAGGTGCCCGGCAGGAGCTGTGACCTTGGGGCACACGTGCCCCAGTACAAGTAGCAGTAGAGTCCAGGACACACCTGCTAACAAGCCCCCTCCAGCCTGTGTCCTCAGCATCACCCATAGTGTGGCCCTTACTCTTGGCAGCGCCTGGGGTGACGGGTGATCGGTGTGAGTGGCTGACTCCCCAAGGGCTGACATGTACCCCTGGGGGACTTGTGCTCATTGGATGTCTTTGAGTTCCCCTCCCTCTTGGCAACTGTTTTTGGCCTGTGCTCATTGAGATCCAGGGAGTGTTTCCTGCCAGGCACCCTCTGTGTTTTTGTCAGACCTGTACTGAGATTCCAAGGGACTTCCCACTGGGCAAGGAATAACCAAATCAAGCCTTATTTCCCAGAACCCCACTCGCAGGGGCTGCTTGGCATAGCCTCACCTGACTGCACACGATTCCCCTCAAGTTCCCCTCACTCCCCAGTCATAGGTGGCGCCTCATGCATGTGCTCTGAGATGCCCAGGTGGGGGCTATCTGGGCTGGGCCTTCTTAGCTGCAGTAGAAGGGCCAGCAGACAGCAGCAGATGGGCAGGCTCCACCATGTGGGACACCTCTTCTATCCTGGGCTCTGCTGAAGCCTCGCCCTCACTGGGCACCCTCAGGCATCTCTTTTTTGGCCAGCCTCCAGCCTCTCCTGTCCCTGACTCAGCCTGTCCTCCAGGCTGCCTCTCGCCCACCCTCTGTGACAGCCCACTGGCCAGAAGTGCTTCTGGAGGGAGCCCTTCATCTAAGGAGGGTCTGGCTGAGAGGGCCCCGCAGTGGAAAGAGCTCACCCCAGAGGTCAGGGCTCCTGAGGCCCTTTCCCCCAGGCTTGCTGAGGCCCTGTGTGCACACACTGTCTCCTTTCATCTTCCCATGTACACTGTGCCCATTGGCAGTCGAGGAAGCAGGCCAGGCATTGAGTCACCTGCCCCAGACACAGAGCTGGCAGGTGCTGCCTGTGTCCACGGAGCCCGAGCTCTCCACCAGGGCCCGCAAGTGTCCCTTTCAGGGTCGAGCCAGGTATGGGCCTCCCTTTCAACCTGTTGAGATTTCTGGGTTTGACACTTGCCCCTGAGGGATGGAGCACACCAGGGACACCCCCTAGCGACTAACCCCCACAAGTGACCCATGAAGCACTCAAACACACTTGCCATGGGTGTTCACACGGCCCAGGGGTCTGTGCCTGTGAGCTTTAGCTGCTGGTTCTGTAAGCGACTAACCCCCACAAGTGACCCATGAAGCACTCAAACACACTTGCCATGGGTGTTCACACAGCCCAGGGGTCTGTGCCTGTGAGCTTTAGCTGCTGGTTCTGTGCACCATGAGGTTTGGATAATGTGTACTGTAGGCACCATTAAGCTTAGATGATATATGCAGTAGGTAAAGTGGAGCTCTGTACCCAAAGAAATTCACATTGATGAGATAATTTGGTTAATTCAGCTCAAGGCCAACACTGAGACAGTTTTGTTCATATGTGGGGAGGTTCAGTTGAACTTGCTAACAAAGCAGTAAGGTCAGGTACCGTAAAGCAGACAGGCTTGGCAGCGAAGGTTGTTGCGCTCTCTCTTCTTTTCAGCAACTGCACACGCTTGAGAAGGACCTGGTGTCAGCCTGCGACCTCCTGGGTGTGGGGGCTGAGTACGCCCGTGTGGTAGGATCTGAGTACACACGGTAGGCCCTTGCTCCCCTCCCTGCCCCCACCTCCTGTATAGAAAGGGCTTGGCCATCTTAACCCATGACTGAAACAGAAATGGCATTTCAACATGAAAAGATGACCACCTTCATGCAGATGAAAGCTACGTTGAGATGCCTTTTGCTCCTCCAGTTCATAAAGTAAAAAGTTGGAGGGTCTTTGGTACAGGTGAGGGGTGGCCAGTGTTCTCAACACAGTCAGCACTTGCATGTTTGGAGCGTCTCTTGAAATAAAAAGCACTCCTGTGATTTGATGGACGCTGCCCTTCATCTCACAGACGCGCTGCGCCCTTGGTGGTGTGGAGTGTGCATGGACCATAGGTGACCTCAGTGTCCACCCACTCAGGGGCGCCGAGGAGCTTGTTGATGCAGAACAGGAAGCAGAGTAAGTCAGCGTTTGTGTAAAAGAAGGGACATAGGATCACGTTGTGTACAAAACTGCTTGGACCACCTAGAGACTAGTGCACTGAGGTCAGAGGCTACCGTATTCCCTGTGTGTCCTCTGTGAGGTCCTCTTATCTGTTTCTTTTTCTCCCACATAGAAGAATCCTCTGCAGGAGGCGGGCACCAGGCAGCAGTGCTCTTATTCTGTGTGTGTTAAGGTTCTGGAAAGTTCCCACAAAGGGCCTCGCTGGTCCGAGAATGGGTGCTCTGGGGCCTGGCCTCTGTCCATGAGAGTTTGTCCTGTGGAGTTGTTAGAACAAAACAGTCCCCAACTCTTCTTGGGCCACCCTCTGAGCCTTGCTCTGTGTGTCCACTGACACTGAGTCCCTGCTTGCTGTGTCTGTGGGATTGAGATGATAGTGAACATGTTGTCCTCTACCTTGCCTGGGATGAGGCCTTCCAAGTGCCCATGGATGCTTTCTGGGCTTTTGAACATGAGTGTGTGTAAACCATGCAAAAAAAGTAACTAAAAAAAGACAGAATAGACAAAATAGAGCAGTCTTGCAAATAAAACAAACCTTTTTGGGGACTGTTCGCTGTCGTCCACTTAACTGTCCCCCAAGGTAGCACATCAGGTCCCATGAGCATTGGGGCAGCCACAGACCTTTGCAGACCTGACCCCCATCTTGTTTTCCAGGGCGCTGTTCCTGCTCAGCAAGGGGATGGTAAGTCAAGGCTGGGGGCATGGCAGGTGTGGCTGGTGTTGTGATGAGGTTGGGCCTCCCACTGGGTCTGCCCAGACCCCACCCACTCTCCATGGCATGGCTCCTCGGGCCGGCGAGTAGCCTCAAGGGTGAGGCCCCCATGCCCTGTCTAGGTTCAGAGGCGAAACTCAGATTCCAGGTTGTGGGAATTATGCTGAGAAAGGAGCCTGGTTTAGAGCTGTTTGGGCCCGGCTTTGCCCCGTCCAGGCTATGTGACCTGGGGTGGTGGCAGCGTTCCCCTGGTAGACACCCAGCAGGGGCCTCTGCAAGCCCTGAAGCCCAGAGCCTGTGCCTCTCCCTCCCCAGCTACTGCTCATGGAGCGCAAGTTGCAGGAAGTCCACCCGCTGCTGACCCTCTGTGGACAGATCGTCGAGAACTGGCAGGGGAACCCCATCCAAAAGGAGTCGCTGCGCGTCTTCTTCCTGGTGCTCCAGGTGACACACTACCTGGATGCAGGGCAGGTGTGTGGTGCCTCTCACAGGAGGGCTGCTGAGGAGTGGCAGGAGGGCGGGCACAGGTGGTGCACGGAGTGTTGGGCTTTGAGCCACGACAGCATGTGTCTTTGACTTGTCACATTGTAGGCTTGTCATTCTGCTCCGCCCTCCACACACATAAACCCTGCACTGGCACATGTGCTGTTGTCGTCATCATGTTTGTCTGGTGTGCCTCCAAGGGCAGAGGGCACTCCAGAATGAGTTTTGTCCTGGTGGCCCTGCCCTCACTCCGGCAGCAGTGATGTGTGGCCTCACACACGGGGCCACTGGGGAAATCCGTGAGAATAAACTGAGGGTTCTGGGTAGTGCCAGGCACACAGCAGGTGCTGAAGCAGTATCTCTCCACCCACTGCCCCAGCTGATGACAGCTTTGTGGGGATCAAGTAGGTACTGACATGACCGGCCAAGTCTGAGACTGACTCTGTAGCCCTGGCATGGTTGAGGAGTAGCTATGTTGGAGCACCTTGTACCTGTGCTTGTGTGACCATCTCGGCCTTCCAGGGATGGTGGCTGCCCCATCCACCTCGGCTCCACCCTGTCCAGTGGTCGACCACAGGCAGGGAGGCCACAGGTGGAACCTAGCATTATTGAGGATTCTGGAAAGCCCTGAGTGGTCTTTTGGTAAGGGATTTCCTCAGTTCCCCTGCTAGTGCCTACCTTTGCCAGCTGGGCCAAGCACCACTCTCAGCATATATTGCAGACGCCTATTCCCATGGGGTGCTGAGGGACTCAAAGACGTCCCGTGGGGTGTCAGGGCGAGTCTTCCCATGCTGACAGGACAGTCTGTATGAGCAGCAGTACCTGCAGGACTTTTGGGCTGGGAGGCTGCTTTCTATCATCAAGGTGCCCTAGCTTTCTTCTGCCCTCTTGGGGTCCGGCTGCAGGAAGGCTGAGCACAGCTCAAGCAGGGTCTGTGGACAGGCCTCTTGGGTGCAATGCTGGGCCTGTCCCATGTCCTGAGAGCCTGACTGATCCATGAGGATGGGGGGACTTCTTGCAGAAGGTGGGTATGGCAGGAAGGAAGGCAGATGCTCCCGGTGAGGGGGACTGGGCTGAACTGGGCCTGGCCTCCTGCTGAGGAGCCTGGCACCTGGTGGGAAGCAGCAGGATACAAGCAGGTGGGTGCTCAGGTGTGGGTGCTGCCCACCTGCCTGCCGCAGGTGAAAAGTGTGAAGCCATGCCTGAAGCAGCTGCAGCAGTGCATCCAGACCATCTCCACACTGCACGACGACGAGATCCTACCCAGCAACCCTGCCGACCTCTTCCACTGGCTGCCCAAGGAGCACATGTGCGTGCTCGTCTACCTGGTGAGTCCCTGCAGGGACCAAGTGGGAAGGCCAGGAAAGGGCGCTGTCGGTGACCACTGCTGCCTGGTTTTGTCTGCAGGTGACCGTAATGCACTCCATGCAGGCCGGCTACCTGGAGAAGGCACAGAAGTACACGGACAAGGCCCTCATGCAGCTGGAGAAGCTCAAGAGTAAGTCAGTGCTCTGGTCACGTGGCCACAGCGCCCCCTGGTGGGAAGCCCGAGCAGCTGCTTCCTGTGCTGGGGATAAATGGCCACAGAACGGAGCAGTCCCTGCCTGGTGGGTCTCATCATTCCCAGTTGGCAGATGGCAGCAACCATTGTGAGGGCAGAGCAGGCCAGGCCTGAGGTCAGGGGAACACCCCCCAGACTGGCCAGGGCCCTTCTGCCAACAGGTGCTCAGTCAAAACAGGTGATTTCTGCTTTTGCTGATTATTATCAGTGTTGTGACATGGATGCGCACAGGGTGAGGTCAGGATTGGAACTCAGAGGAAGGAACTTCAGAAGAAGGTTGTGGGTTTTTTCCAGATGCTTGACTATTTAATCCATCCTCCCGGACCAGGGACCTTTAACTAGCATGAACCTAGAGCCCCAAGCGTCTCTTGCTGGAACATTCTTGAAGTCAGCCCCTAGCTTGAACTCTGTCTTTTTACCTGGACATGGAGATGAGCTCCTTCACTCAGAGGGTGCAGCGGGAACTGAGGGAGGTGACGGGGTGGGTGTCAGGCTTGCGTGGCAGGAGGCAGGACAACACGGGCTGGGCCCAGTGAAGCTGGGGGTCAGAGCCTCCTTGGGACACTTCCTTTGGCTGCCCCTGTATGCTCATCCCCAACTCTCGCCCTCAGTGCTCGACTGCAGCCCGATCCTATCCTCCTTCCAAGTGATCCTTCTGGAGCACATCATCATGTGCCGGCTTGTCACGGGGCACAAAGCCACCGCACTGCAGGAGGTAGGGCTGCCCAGGGCTGCTTACACACGCGGGGCAGGAAGACCAAAGAGCAGGTGGGTGGTTGGAGTTGGCAAGGCCTCAGAGGCATTAGTCAGGAGACTAAATTTGCCAAGTGCACATTGGCAGGCCATACCATCGTGTCACCTTGCTGTCTCACTGGAGGTTCATAACCGTGCATGGGCATGACTAATTGGAGAAACTGACAAAAAGACCAATAGATAATATCTGAAAAGCTCGCACCCCTGAGGAATGTTCCTCATGTCTGGAGATTTTTGCTCTCCTGACAATGATCCTCACACCCCTCCTGTCCCAGCATCTGTAACCCCTGGTACCCAACTTCCTGAGTGGACACAGGCCTTGAGAAGGGTGGAGGTACTTTATGGTTGAGACACATGTTGGAAAGGGCAGAGAAGGTGGGTAACAGACAAGGATCACTGTCCATAAGGAGGTCAGGGCCACACTTTGCCCTCATGGTGGGACTGTCCACTGGGACTTCATACCCCAGTTTAGGCAGGTGGGATGTGGTCATACTTGCCAGCTTTGGGGTCTCTCCAGTGCTGCTTGGATGCTGGGTCCCAGGTTACAGGCCACATGACACTGGGCATGCTCTCTCCTGGACTTCATACCCCAGTTTAGGCAGGTGGGATGTGGTCATACTTGCCAGCTTTGGGGTCTCTTCAGTGCTGCTTGGATGCTGGGTCCCAGGTTACAGGCCACGTGACACTGGGCATGCTCTCTCCTGGCAGATCTCCCAGGTCTGCCAGCTATGCCAGCAGTCACCCCGGCTCTTCTCCAACCATGCGGCACAGCTGCACACACTGCTGGTGAGTTCGCCCCTGAGTCGGTAAGTAACCCCGTGCCACCACTCCAGGCAGGATCCAGAACATTCCCAGTGAAGAACCCCATGAAACCAAGCACCCCAGTCAGGATCCAGAGCTATCTCAGTAAAGAACCCCATGAAACCACCCCAGTCAGGATCCAGAATGTTCTTAGTGAATAACCCTATAACCAGGATCTGGAACGTTTTAAGTGAGTTTTGTTCTGATGAGCATCTCATCAAGTCCAGTTGACTTAGCTTTGGAGAGGCAGGAATAATTGAGTGTGTTATCTTTTTGTTTCTTTGTCAGGGTAAACATTGAGTGTAGCTGGCTTAATAGAGTCACTGGTCGCTTTGTCCAGGTGCACCCATTTCAGCCCCTGGGCGAGCTGTGTACGGCTCTGACCTGAGCCCTCAGTGGGCCCACAGAGGCTGCCCCAGATGACAGCGTGTTCTTCTTCCAGGGCCTGTACTGTGTCTCTGTCAACTGCATGGACAACGCAGAAGCCCAGTTCACCACAGCCCTGCGGGTAAGGTGCTGGCCCTCATCATTTGTCAGGGCAGGCCACTCTTCTGAGGGTAGCACCATGGCGGTCAGCCTAATGGAGCCAGAACAGTGATGCAGTGCATATAAGGGATGGCTGTGGGGTGAGGGGGCTCCTGGTCAGCTGCCGTTGGGGGCTTCCTGAGCTAACCCAAAGGCAGCCATGAGGGAGAGGCACAGTGTTGGGGCCTTGGGGACCCACTAGTGCCACGGCCTATTCAGCCACATTTCCAACTGATTGGGATCCCTTGCAGCACCCCCCAGGCTGGGTAAGATCCGGAGTCACCCAAAGTTCAAGGGCTCCCTAGTGCTGCCCCTGGGGAGTGCAGGTGGCTGGGGTGCCTAGCCAGGTGTGTCCTGACCCCACACCATACCCAAACCAGGTACTTTGGGGCTGGAGAGGGACGCCTGGTCCTGCCAGGTCAGGGAGGAAGCTCCACCTGGGGGTATCAGCACCCCAGGCTCCTAGCTTCAGACTGGGGTCCTACCAGGCCCTGAAGGAAGGCTGGTTCCATGTCCTTGTAAAGTGACCTAACCCAACAGGTTCCAGCTCTGCCTGCCTTGCTCCAGGACCAGACAAGCATGTCCCCACCTCAGCCTCTGTGCCGTCACAGGAAAAGGAGGCTGTGGACACCTTCCTCCCAGGTGGTCCTAGGAAGCCCTGAGTAGAAGTGTTGGGGAGCAGGGGCAGATTTGTCTGTGACTTGGGTGAGGTTGCTGGGGGTGCGTCTTTTGCACCCTCTGACTTTTGGACATGGGAATCTGCTCCCTAGTGTTCCATATGTCTGTGGGTATTGTGCCACCCCCCACCACTGGCCAGAGACACACAGGACCCTAATGTGCAGACAGCTCGCTTGGGCATGGAGAGCTGACCCACTGCCACTCCTCTGCCTCCATCCCTCACTCCCTGGGCCCTGGTCCACTCCTGCCGCAGTGGTGCCAAGATGACCCCACCCCCACCCCCAAGGCTCTAGCCCTGAGAAGGTCCTATCAGCCCTCCCCATCTGACCTCCCACAAGTGGTTGCTGCTGCTTTGGTTCAACTTCAGTGTTCCTGAAGCCGTGCACCCCAGGGAGTCCCCCCCACAGGCTAGGAGGGAGCCTCGCTTCCATGGGCCACCCAGGAAGTGGTACAGCCAGGACACAGGTCCAATCTCCTTCCCCATACACATGTTGCTCCTGTGGTCCCATGACACGTCCCTGACATTGCCGTTTCTCAGAGCACCTTCAGTTCAGGAAACACTCTGGGCCTCCTTGGCACGTGCTAGGGCCTGTAGGCAGAGTCTACGCCTCTTGGGCTCCCTCAGCCCCTTGTACAGCTGCATGTGCCGGGGTCTGGGTGGTACATGGGGCACTTAGATTGGTCCCTCTCTTGACCATTCTCAATCCCTAAGAGCTGGGGACCATGGTTTGTTGGTCATCAGCAGCATCTCTGGCCTCCAATACAGCATCACCCACCTTCTGGGCAGGGCCCTGGGACAACAGGGTCCTGGAAGTTGCTGGCTAAGTGTGGATGGAGGGGCCACCCAGCTCTCAGTCCTGAGAGACAAGCAGAAAATAGATCACAACACAGCACATTCTGAGGATGGGATCTAGGTGGCTGGTTTCCTTTTCTCTTTTGTCTAAATGTCCCGTAATGATGGTTTTGTAATGAAAATTAACACCTGTGTGTTGCCCTTGGGTTTAGGAAGTAAATGGGGTGTGTCTGAAAGTAAAAGAATGAGGAGCTTCCAGGGTAGCCACCAGGGAGCTTTTGGGTGGCTCTGACACCAGTGAGTGGCCCCGGTGTGATGTGACCCGGCATGGCCCGGCCCCCTAACAAACCATCTCCCATTCCAGCTCACTAACCACCAGGAGCTATGGGCCTTCATCGTGACCAACCTGGCGAGTGTGTATATACGGGAAGGAAATAGACACCAAGAGGTAGTAGGTGACATGCTTCATGTTTGGTATCCTTTCTCTCGATTCTCCTCTTACTTGGGGGTGAGGGCAGGGGCTGGGGTAGGGGAGTTGTCCTGGCACCAGCAATTGTCAGCAAACCCTTGGGCATTCATCCTTCAATAAATAGACACCAAGAGGTAGTAGGTGACATGCTTCATGTTTGGTATCCTTTCTCTCGATTCTTCTCTTACTTGGGGGTGAGGGCAGGGGCTGGGGTAGGGGAGTTGTCCTGGCACCAGCAATTGTCAGCAAACCCTTGGGCATTCATCCTTCAACAAGGGGGCAGCCCAGGCGGAAGGCATGTGGGGTAGAGGCCCAGAGGCAGATAAGCAGCCAGGACTGGGTGAGGCCAGGTCTGGGACACAAACACTCCCACAGCCGCATAACACTTCTCCCTACTGAAAACCAGCCCAGCTTTATTGCATCCCAGAGAAAAAAGCTGGAGCTGTCTGTTGTAGAGTATCAGCCAGGCCTTGCTCCCATCCTGAGGAGCAGCAGCTCCAGCAGTTGTCTGCGCCTTGCCCCCAGCTTGCCCTGATTCCCCAGCCTCGTGGGTGAGGGAGCTTTGCAGGGTCAGGGGTCACTCCCTGGCAGTCATGTTGGGTGGGGGCTCCCAGGGCTGTCCTCACAGGTCAAGTGCCCTCACATGGTTTTCCGAGCCGATAGTCATAGAAGAGTCAGATTCCTCCTGTGATCCCCCCATCTAGCCCTGAGATCTCTCTTCAGTCCCAAGATCTCCCTTAGTCCTGAGATGCCCCCTCCCTCACCTCCCCAGCCCTGGGAGCCTGCCTTCAAAATGTCTGACTTTTCTCCACACTCATGGCCTTTGTGCCAGTTCATGCCACTGTCACAGCTGGTCTGTAAAATAGTGGAGCCAGCCTCCCAGATTCCAGCTGATTCAGGTGCTTTGAGCTGCCAGCAGCAGAAAGCCCAGCGCCTGCTGCTCCAGCAGACAGGGAGCAGCTTGGCAGGGTCACCTGAAGCCCAGACGTGGGCTCATTGTGTCGCAGGGGAACCGCTGGGTAGAGCATGTCTCTGCCACACCTACCTGGTATCTGCCACCAGGAGGGGCCGGTGCTGGGTGCAGCCTCAGCCCCCTGCTGCCCGTATCCCCCAACTCATTCTTTACATGGCAATCAGAGGGGACCTAAAATATCAGGTCACATCAGTGTCAGAGCTTCCTGGGTCTCTGTACTTCCACAGAAATCCCACCACCCCAGCCCACAAGGCCCACATGGACTGGCCTGTTCACCTTTCTGCCTCCAGACCAGCCCCACCTGCCCAGCCCCTTCTGACCACAGAAAGGCCAGGCCAGGCAGCTGCCTGGATACCCCAGCTCCCCTCACCTAGCTCAGGACAGGGTGGCACAATGCAGGGTAGGCTAAGGGTACGGGGACCCCACCCTAGGCACTTTACTCCAGAGGCTACTCTTGCTGGTCAGTCACAGGCTTGGCCACGATTCCCATGATTCCCACAGGTCCTATGGTTCCCCAGATCTGTCCTTGCAAGGGATCCACCCCCTCTCCCTACAGGCTGCTCAGAGGGAGCCGAGCCAAGGGGCGTGGGACTCAAGACTGTGAATGCAGTGCCCTCAGATTGAGTCTTGGGGAGTTGTAGGTGGCCTGATCACCTCAGTAGCACATTTGGGCCAAACTTTCCCCTGTGGGAAAATGCACAGTGATCCTAACTGACGTTTTCTCCCCCTAGCTGTACAGTTTGCTTGAGAGGATAAATCCAGACCATAGCTTCCCTGTCAGGTAAGCAGTTCTAGGTGGCATTTCAGGGCCTGGCTTAGGCTTTCTTTGTTTTGGGGATGATGTGAGCTCCTGTGGGGCCCCAGACTGCCCCATGCACCCCATGCCTCATGACCCCTCCTCTGCAACAGTCTGACTTTGGGGGCTCTCCCCTTTTGTAAACCTTTCTGAAAACCCCACTACGGCGTGACGTTCTGCTCTCCCCCCAGCTCACACTGCCTCCGAGCGGCGGCTTTCTACGTGCGCGGGCTCTTCTCCTTCTTCCAGGGACGCTACAATGAGGCCAAGTGAGTGCTGAGCACAGGGTGGCAGGCGGGCCATCCTCGGGTGTGGTTTCTACATGACAGCCTCTGCCAAGGCCCCTGACCCTCCGCCAGGCTGTAGCTATTTCTTTTTCCCTAACGGACGTCCGTATGGGACATCATCACCCATGTTCTCTTTGTATAGGCGATTTCTGCGGGAAACTCTGAAGATGTCCAATGCAGAGGATCTGAACCGGCTCACAGCCTGCTCCCTCGTGCTCCTAGGCCACATCTTCTATGTGCTGGGGAACCACAGGGTGAGTGACCAGACCCAGGTTCCCTCACCGGGGGCCTGCTGGGCCCGGCCAAGGGGTCGGGGGTAGCCAGTGTGAGCATGGCCCTCCCCATCCATTGTCCCACAATGAGCATGAGGCGCAGCTCCACAGGCTGGGTAGGCAGGACCAGGGGAGCTTCGCACCCATGGAGAGTGTGACTGTGGGGTAGATATGAGGCCAGCTGCTAGCCTCAGGTGTTAGAGGAGCCGGAGCTGGTGGGGCTGCCCTGAGCTGTTGGGGCTGCCCTGAGCTGTTGGGGATGATAGCAGGTTCCCTTGCTATGTGTTAATGTTTGAGGGGTGCACAGGCCTAGGTCTCTGAGGAGCAAAGAGGTGCCTCCTCTCAACCAGAATCCCACACATGAGCGGCCCCCAGGGCTGGTCCCACCCCATGCCCAGTGGTCTCTGGTTAGATAAGCAGCCTCTGAATCTTCCCCATCTGATTGTCACCTGCTCCCTGCTCTCACACATCTGACCTCATAAGGCCTTTACTTTTTTTTAAAAAAGATATTTTTCATTGTTATAAAATATGACATGTTCATTATAAAAAGTCAGAGAAGCAAAGGAGGAAAAAGTGCACATCCTCTGTTGTTCAGCCCTCTCCGCCCCCCAACACATGCAGGTGTTGTTCGCCAGGCGGTTTGGTAATTTTACGTCTTGGCTTTCTCCACCTCTACTACCAGAAGCTTTTTTTTTTTTTTTAATGGCAGTGAACATGTGAAGTGGTATCCACTTCATAGTTTAGCCAACCTACTTTAGCGTTTTCCACAGGCCAGATATCACAGGGTGCATGTCTTGTCTTATAATGTCTCTTCTGCTCAGGCCGCAGGTTTCCCCCTCCTTTAGGGTGGGTGTTCCTAACAAGCCTGTCCGCTCCCTACCACTAAGCCTTCGCCGAGAGCAATGGGCCCTGAAGCTCTTTACGGGGACAGGGACAGGTGTTTTTGTCCCCAGTGGCTCTCACTGGGCTCCTCCTGCCACATCCTGAGGACCCTGGGACTCTGAATGGGGGTGGTTTTGTGCAGTCACGTGGTCACAGGGTTGGAGGATTCATGGGTCCTGGTGCCCCCACAGCCCCAGTGTCTGTGGTGGCTCCCATGAGAGCCAACTCTTATGCAGAAGACATATGTCTCTCTTTCCCTCCTTTATCCAGTCAGCCCTCATCACTCTTAACTGGGATAGGTCCTTGGGGCCAGCTGTTGCCCTTCCCAGGCCCTGGGACCTCTGAATGAATCCACATTTCCAATGGCTCCTATTATGGGTCCAGAGCTGGCTGCCATCAGTGCCTTTTTCTCCAGTTAGAAAGACAAAGGCACACAGACTTGCACATTGACCATGCCCACGTGAGGAGGTGCATGCAGAGTCAGGAGTGGGGCAATTTGTTCTTCTCAGATGGACAGGGTATACTTCAAAGAGGGCCATTTGAGATGGACTGTGAAGTAGTAGTAGTTGTTTTCAAGGCAGCAGAAGGAGGACACAGCCTGGGCTAGGTTCAGCAGATGAGCCTCAGGCTGTCCCTGCCACTGGCCCCTCAGTTCCCTCTTGGCTGCTTTTGGTTGACAGGAGAGTAACAATATGGTGGTGCCTGCCATGCAGCTGGCCAGCAAGATCCCAGACATGTCAGTGCAGCTGTGGTCATCAGCCCTGCTAAGAGGTAAGAAGAGCAGCTACCTCCCCTCCCCAGTCCTGGCCTGCCACCTGGTTTCCCCCAGCAATCAGGGCTACCAGGCAAGCCTGCCACAGCATCAGCTCAGACTGGGCCTTTGGTTGTCCTCCAGAAGACCCCATTTGAGAGCAGTGGGCACTGGGCCTGCTTGTGGTGTCAGCTCAACGCCAGGTCTCATTCAGTTTCTCCAGGTCTCACAAGGCTGGGATGTGGTAGCTGGCAGACTTGGGCTATTTCTCCACCTCGATTTCTTCCCCCTGAATGCAGATGGCAGTGATTGCTATCTGTCAGGACCAGCCAAAGTGCTCTGGGTGCAGGGTAGGCGCTCAGCAGGCAATAGTCAGTGTTGTCCTACAGATCCCTGTTACAGATTAGGAAACTGAGGTCCAGAGACTCTCCCAGGGTCCCAGGGAGGAGACAGGGCAGGCACTTGTTCACATGTGTGCTCTGCCTCAGGAATGGGCATTGGGTGCCCTGTCCCAGCAAGCTCTGTGTGCCTGAGGGCTGGCCCTGGGCTCCTGGGGAGGGCCATCAAGGAGCCCGTCATCTGGCTTTCACCACCCAACCATCCCTGTGTCTGCCTTATGAGGCTTTGTCATCCCCAAACAGTCAGAGCCAGTGGTGTGCCGGACACACAGAAATCCACCAGTGGAGCCGGAGTTTGACCTTAGGGCTTTGCCCAACCCTGACAGAAGGGTGGGCACAAGGGGCAGGGCAAGGCAGGTCCCCCATGCACATGTCCCTTCCTCAGACCTGAACAAGGCTTGCGGGAACGCCATGGATGCCCACGAGGCTGCTCAGATGCACCAGAACTTCTCACAGCAGCTGCTCCAGGACCACATCGAGGCCTGCAGCCTCCCCGAGCATAACCTCATCACGGTAGGGCACAGGGAAGGCAGAGGGCAGTAGACTCCTGGGCCTGGCCCACCTGCCCGGAGGAGGGAAGGATGCCCTTGGCTGTATTTCTTTTTGTCTGTCCAGCAAGGCCTAACTCAGGCTCAAGAGGCCCCTCTGATGAGGGAGAGAGCCACAGGCCCCTCTACCCAAGTGGGTGACTCAGGGTACATCCAAGGGGCCCATGGAACCTGGGTGTGGAGGGCAGAGGGGGCTAAGCTAGGTGACCAGTCTGAGGAGGGCAGCATCCCAAGCTCCCCCTCCCTGGGAACAGCCAGTGTTGCCTCATTGATGTGTGTCCTCTCCTCCCTGCAGTGGACAGATGGCCCGCCCCCTGTACAGTTCCAAGCTCAGAATGGACCCAACACCAGCCTGGCCAGCCTCCTGTGAGGCCCCTGCAGGGGACCGCCCAGCTCCTCGGGGCCTCTGTGGGGCCCTGCATGTCCCTGGCTTCCACCCAGATAGCCGTGGAGCTTTCTCAGAGGTGTGCTCGTGCAGGCCTCCCCAGGCTTCTTTCCAGACTGTCTCTAGAGCTTCCAAGTCCGGGAGTGTACAGGGCCAGGAGGGGATGGCCACCATTTCCACCTCACTCCAAGGCCCCCTGAGCTGATACTCGCAGGTGGGACGTTGGAGCCGACTTTCTAGAGCCATCTTTTAAAGTGGACGTTACCTGCCAGTCCCGCGTCCATGTCTGAGTCACGCCTGCCAGGGAGCGTGTCCGGGTGGGGAGTGGGCACTGGCCTTGGGCCAGGTCCTGATCTTGGGTGCCAGGTGGGCAGTACCTTGGGGGTGTCGCTGCCTGCCTTTTCATCACCTGGCCTGGACGCCAGGCACTGGCCAGAGTGTTTCCTCTGCACAAGTCAGCTTTCAGGGCCCAGAGGCAAGTTGCCAGTTTCTGGCCCAAATTTGGAAGGACAAGCGATAGCCCGTGTGTGGGACCAAGCACACATCCCAACACTTTACCCAGCTTGCCTTTCTCTCCTGCATTTGTCCCTCTGACAGCCAGGGCCTCTGGTCAGGGACCATCGGGGACCCAGGAACTTGGCTTCCAAACATCTGCACCTTGACTGGATTTGCCATCCTATTGTGGGGGGTGCGTGTGCTTGTAAACATGGGTATGCATGTGTGTGCACAGTACAGATTCAGGGAGCTAGAGCCGAGGCTGCTGTGTGTGCACCAGCTGCCTTCACACATCATGTTTCTGCTGAGAGGCAGGAAGCAAGGAGATGGCCTCCTCACCCAAATTTAAGACCGCCTCGTCAGCCCAACTCAGGGTGCAGGGCATGGTCCCCTGTTGGAACTGGAACAAGGGGCTTTCTTCCCCGCAGTCCTGCAGCCATCTCTACAGTGGACATTTTGCAGGCAACTGCTTAGCCTCCTGGCCCCCTGCCCTTCTCTCAGGAGGGAAGGATACACATCCCTGCCTTTCCTTCTGGGTCTGTAGAGGACAGCTTCAAAACCTTGGCTGCTCTGCCAGGCCCAGACAGCGGTGCCTCATTTTATGCTCGTGTCTTGCATAATTGGGGAGGGGCCCCAGTGGTGATAGTGGCATTGGGAGTGGTAGCAGCAAGGATCGGGTCAAGACAGCCACCCCTTCCAGCTTCCAGCACCCTCCTACGGGGTGGTGAGCAGTCTTGCTAGTCAGGGTGGGTGGTTTCAGGCCTTGTGACCCTTGCACAGTGAAGGCTGCTTCTCAGAGCATTGGTGTCTGTGACTGAAGGAACATCAGGATTGCTGAGGGCAGCTGTTCAGGCTTGGAGGCCTGGTTGTGCCTTAGCCACAAGCAGGGCCAGCAACAACCCCACGGCCAGGCCAGCATCTGGGCCAGTGACCTGCTGATAAAAGGGATGAAGCTGGTGGGGACTTCACTGTCTCTGGGTTGAGAGGGAGAACTTGGCTCTGTCCTGCCTGGGGTTGCCCCCTTAGCCAGCACCTCCGAAGTCCATGAGGCCAGTAGGAGAGCATGTGGTTCCGGTCCACAAGCTGTCCTGGTCCTGTCTTCCTCACAAGCTGTGGCCTCTGCCCAGCTCCACCCCCAGGCCCTCCCTTCCATCTCTGAGACAGTCCCCCATGTCTCCATGATCTGCCCCTGCTGGCCTGGACCCCACACTGTCCAGCCTCTCCAGGCCCACATACACTTCAATCACATTGTACATCTTGTTTGTCTCTGCCTATTTATTTAAGCCTTTCTTTGCTTCTAGGGCATTTTGTATGTAGAGCAGTTGAAATAAGAACCTCAAAATTTAACATCTATCCTGATGTTAAAGTGCTTTTAGTGACCACATTGTTATCTATGTGTATGTAAAGTTAAAGATAGGATCTTCAGTTTACAATTAGAAATTTAGTACTCAATATTTAATATTCCACTTGAGCTTTATGGAGGCCAAATCGCGTGCGTGCGTGCGTGCGTGCGTGCGTGCGTGTGTGTGTGTGTGTGTGTGTGTGTGTGTCTCCATGCGTGAGCTTTAATCCTCCCCTTCACAGCAGCTTCTTCCGACTACATAAAGTTCTGGATGAGTACCTTCCTGTGAGTGTGAGGTCAGTGCCTCGCAGTTTCTCAATCAGTCATGAGAACGGAAGGCCGGCAGCAAGCCCCCAAGGAGACGTTATACACAGCACCCTATAGCAAAAGGTTTAGAAAAAATAGATGAAAATTCTAGACCTTTCGACAGACAGGGGAGAGGGGTAGGAGAAAGACTGTTGGCGGGTAACCTGCTGAAAGCTGGTCAGACCCTCCCATGCACTTCCCACCCCATCCTGGGCCTGTGGGTCTGGGGTCTGACCCAGGAGGCTGGGCATGGCAGGGAGCGACGCCGCCTCCCCCCAGCCCCATTTAACAGGAACGCAGGCAGGGAAAGCAAAACTGCTGCCTGGCATGGTCGGTAGATTGGTTGGTTGCGTTGTCTCTGTTTCGTTAGGGTTTCTTAATATGTATGTTTGGCATAATGTCTTTTAATGGGTTTGTAATATCTTACAATTTTAGCAGCCTGTAACTTTTCAGCCGGTGCTTTTAATCAGGAAAAAAATTTTTTGTAAATATAAAACAATGTTTAAAAGACATAACCATAGAACATAGCTTTCCGTTTGTGGATTCCCTTTCCTATGTTCAAAGTAAAATAACTTACAGGACCCACTCACTGTGTCCTTGTTGATCCATCTGCCCTCATTGTTCACCATCCCAGAGATGGGCTGTCACCCTCCCTGCCCAGACGGCAGGCCCCCCACTGTGTGGTAGGCTGTGGGATCTTCCACCAACAGACAGGGCGTGAGCATCCAGAGCCCCATATCCTGAACAGGAGGACCTGGGGAAACCTGAGTCTTCATCTCCCTTGATTGCTGATGTTCCTCTGGTCCATCCCCACCTGGAGGGGAGGGAGCCCCAGCTATGTCAGCTCACAAGGCCCTCCTGTGAACACACTCGTGTGCCTAGGTGTCCTTCTGGTATCTGTGTTCTTAGAAAACATGGACCAGCCTCCATACACCTGTGGGAGTTTGGTTTGGTTTTTCCTTTTTTTTTTTTTTTTTTTTTTAACGTAAAGTTCAACTTTTGGCGGGGGCGGGGGAAAATCTGGCTAGTAAGGGGATCCAAACTTTTGACCTTGGTAATACAACACCTTGGTGTTACAATACCATGCTCTAACCAACTGAGCTAACCAGCCAGCCCAAAATTCACCATTTTAAAGTGGATAATCCATTGGCATTCAGTGCATTGACAGTGTTGCACAACTATCACCTCTGTGTAGTTCCAGAACATTTATCACCCTGTAAAGAAACCTTGCACTCAGTAGCTATTGCTCCTCATTCCCCTCCCCCAGCCCTGGCAACCACTAACCTGCTCTCTGTCTCTGGATGTGCCTGTTCTGGACGTTTCATATAAATGGAGTCACACACCGTTTGGCCCTTCATGTCTGGCTTCTTTCACTCGGCATGTTTCCAAGGTTCATCTGTGTTGTAGAATGGATCATTGTTTCATTCCTGTTTATGGCCACATAACGTCCCTTTGCACAGTTCACGGTGTGGTGTTTATTCCTCACCCACTGGTGGACATTCAGGCTGTTTCCCTTGTGGCAATTGTGAACAGTGCTGCTGTGAACATGCCCACACGTGTTTTTTGTCTGAACATGTGTTTTTAGTTCTCTTAGGGTTGCCTGTGTTTTTTTGTTTTTTTTTTTAAGTTGTGCCTCCTCGCCCCCTTTTTTTTTTTCCTGTCTTTAATACGTACAAGTGGAGCCAGGCTGCCGCTCCCCACACACACTGTGTTAAGGCCTTCGTGTTGCTCTCGCCGATGTGCAGTGTGCTGAGAGGCCTGTCCACCAGCTTTTCCCGTCGTGACTCATGATGGACACAGGCCGCCTCCAGCCTCTGGCCCCAAAGATGACACCACTGAGGTGCCCTTGATGGGGGCTCACTTCTAGGAGCTCGTCTGAGGACTCCTTTGGGCTGTGGTCCTAGGACAGAGCCACAGGCCACTGAATGTGCAGTGTCTAATTTGACAGTCCTGCCTAGGATTCCCAGCACCACAGATGCTGGGCTCCCTCGGCCCCATCCCTGCCAACTCAACCTCAGGTGGCTTTTTCACTGGAGGTAGACTCTGCTCATCCCTCATCATCCCCTCAAATGTCATTTCCCGCAGATGGACAGGCAGAGCCCATCATGTGTGCTTCATGCCTCACCAGCCCCTGCTCAGGAATCACCCCTGAGCTCGCTTGACCAGAGCACAGTGGGACAAGCTCACTATGGGATGAGTTACCCCACCAAAAGGCAAGTGGCCCTGTGTAGGAGACGTGAATCTGCATGTGACCAGCAGGCTCATCCTGAGCAGACTGTTTCAAAGAAAGTGACCCTAGACACAGGCTCACCTCAGCCTGGGCTGCCAGCAGGCCAGGGCAATATGGCACCTTCTGACAAAACATTTCCAGGTCAGCCATGACCCAAGCAGCCTCCGTGAGATGGAGAACCAAAGATGTCACCGCCACTCAGGAAGCAAGCAGCATTCCCCCACAGGCAGTCCACATCCATCTCGCCCCCACCATCCAGCACATGCACTTTCCCAAACCCAGCACCTGAGAGAAAATTGTGGCGCATATCCTCCCAGCAGCCGTTTCATGTCCTGTCTCAGTCTGTTTAGGCTGCTATAGCAAATTATCATAGGCTGGGTGGTTTATAAGTGATAAATATTTATTTCTCACAATTCTGGAGACTGGGAAGTTCAAGATCAAGGCACTGGCAGGAACAGTGTCTGGTGAGGGCTCACTTTCTGGCTTGCAAGAAGTGCCTCTTTCATGAGGGCACTGATGTGGTTTTAATGTTTGCCCCCTCCAAAACTTATGTTGAAATTTAATCCCCAGTGTAACAGTATTAAGAGGTGATGGGATCGTGACAGTTTTGCCTTTATGAATGGATAAATCCATTTGTAGATTAATTGTATATCACGAGAATGGTTCGATTATAAAAGTCAGTTTGGTACTCGGTGGG